TTTGGTATATATAACCCTATATCTGACTCTTTTAGTTTTAGGACTTACAAACAACCGTTATGTGAACAAAACTATAATACTCTCTTTAGCAACATTGTTGCGAGAGTATAAAAAGATGTAAGTGGTTATGATAGGAACACCGAATGAATCAGTCTGGGTACTACACGTTTTTTTGCAAATGTAAGTCTGTCTATGGCGCCGTAGCATGTTGGACAGTATAGCCATTGTCTATGCCATTTGGTCCAATGCTGTTGTGGCTTCCGGGCTACGCGCCCACAATGTGAAGCTTTGGTGTGCAGCTCGAGTGGCGAAATGTGCGCCAGCTCGAGTGCTGTAGAAAGGGATTGCGTGTCAGGCCAGGTAACAGCCAACATTAATAATAACAACAACAATATTTTCAATTGCATAAAAACTAAAGGAAAATTGTTATTGCTGTCGATTCTGACGATTTTATTTCAGTGAACATGAAATTAAGAACGCAAGCACAGGGCAATAAGTAGGCGGTATAATGCAATATCCCTTCTTTATATTCGTCCTTATTGTATGTTATTTTAAGTGTTGTCATTGCGCTGTAAGCAAAGCGATTTCGGGGCAGATTTCATAGCACGGCACCGGTTTGATGAGTGATTGCCTTTCGTGTTTGTGAACAGTTACTCATCTATATAGCATTTGTAATACCCGCAGGTACTACATATTCTTCATCATAATCAGTATTTTTCTATTGACAATCATCCCACTAAAAAGTGCTTTAAATTTTTGCATAATTACCAATTGAAAGAATGCCAGCGTCATTTGGGCGCAGTACATGGGTGAAGTAAATCCGTAATCCCGAGTTGTCAGCCATTTGTCGACTGTAGCTCTGGAAGTTATCGGGCTGCAAATTGTTGTAGTGTGTTTCCATAAGATAGTATTTGGCAGCATGAGAATCGATCGGGTAGCCAGCATCCTCCGGAAATGTAAAACCCTGTGTTATAGAGAGACAACATTTAGATTGCTATAAAATCACATTTCTACAACAGTGGAAACTCTATATGGCGGAATACCATTTAACTAAACACAATTTATTTGGTTTACATTTCCATTTTTATGTTTGCACACTGATGAAATGCATAAACCGCTTAACGTAAATGCAGTAATTGACTCAAAACATGAATATTTGCAGGAAATAAAATACAGAAAGGCACTTAGTTAAAATAATATTAGCAAAATACCGCTACAAGTGATATCTACTTTTTCTAATAAACTTTAGAGAACACTTTGTATAAAAAGAAAAACATAAAGCAATAAATAAAATAAATAGAGAAAAGAGCTTTATTGTTTTTCGGAATATTCTCAATTAAGATCTATACATTTTTGCAATTTTCGAACCAGAAAGCGGTATTTCCAAAACATTCGTTCTGAACCCATCACCCGTTTCTTGAGGTGTCGCTATCCTCTTAACTTATTTTTTATGGAGAATGACTCATCAAATCGATGTTGACAAAATGCAATTATTCAGTGAATGTGAGAGCTCGCGTTGTCGTGGTGAAGAGTAAGTTATCTTCAGCTGTTGGTTTTCCTGATTTCTCGAAGGACAACTGGCAAACAAATGCATGCTTACACACAGAATTTATTGTTCTGTGGTGTTCTAGTGGAATGATTGCGACATATCCAGTTTCCAAAAAACAAGTAACCATTTGATTGGAATTGCTAGGTGCACGAACAACTTTGGTTGGCTTCGGCTCATTTAGTAGCCTCAAAGAGTCGACTGCTGTTTACTTACGGCGGCATACTTCACTTGTCCGGATGTCATAGACGTGTTTCGAATGCTAGGGTATTTCTTTAAAATTTCACTCGATCAATCGACATGAACCTTTTTTGGAGTGATTAGCAAATTGTGTGGTATCCAACCTGAACAATTTGTTTTTTTTTTTTATATTAAAACCCTTGCCAACAGGTGCTACTTTGGGCTGAGCAGGCAATTGAAAAGTAAAGTCCTCTCTCGAAGAACAAAGAACAAACTCTAGAAGTCCCGTCCTGCCAAAGGGTGCAGAGATATGGACAACGATATCTGCTCTGGATAGGTCATGTTGACCGGATGGAAGAGAACGCTCCAGCTTTGAAGGTTTTCGATTCGGTAACCGCTGGTAGAAACAGAAGAAAAAAATACTCCGTTGGTAAAACCAGGTGGAGGAGAACATGGCTTCGCTTTTAATCTCGAATTGACGCCAAATAGCAAAAAGATGAAACGACGGGAGCGCTGTTTTTAACAAAGATGCAAAAATGTTCTTTGGAATTTTGTATGTATACTGGTCTTTTGTGATATACGACCTAAATACTGGTAGTTGATCGAGTTTCATCGCCAAAAACTGAATAAAATTTATCGATGCACTGTTGCTGAGTTCAACCGCGTCGAAAGTTGTAAATACATAATAAGCGCGCGAAAATGTTCGCATTTGAATTCCATTTTTTTTTACCAATATGACTTTTTTAAGTTACTGTGAACCACACAAATTGCGCTGGTATGATAAAAGTTTTTAGTATGTGAAATACCGAAAGGTCAAACTTTCCGATAAAGCTGTGAGTTGTCAGACTGCAAAATCCCGAAGTATAAAAGTCAACTTCGGTCATACAAGATGCGCTCCAAAGTAAACAGGATAGGAATTTCGAAACTAGCGCCCCTGGTGGCGCCATCTATATGTCGACTGGTGCATTAGAATCTGCTATCTTTGTCGATTGTCCAGTAAGAAATGACATTTCATCGATTCGAAGTGAAGTTATTGCGTTTTAAGTGTCAGTATGTTTGTGTTAACGTTGCGAAAATGATCTTCGTCGATCGATCGACGCCTATGACCGACCGTATTCACCTGATATGGCACCGTGCGACTTCTTCCTTTTCGGAAAAAATCTATCAGAAGTCGAGGACATTCAAAAGGCCTGTACCGGCATACTGGCGGTCATTCCGGCCAACGAACTAAAGCACTCGTACGACATGCTTTTGAACCGTGTAAAAAGCTGTATTGAAGCCGAAGGAGACTATTTTGAATAAAATAAATTGAATAAAATAAATTTTGCCTATAAAACCATTTGTTCTATTTTTTGTAAAGTCCTGTTTACTTTGGAACTCTCCTTGTATGCATGGTGATGATATCAAGTCATCAATTTTTACTTTTATAGAAAGTGGATATTTTGATGCTCTCGTATGAGTGCAACTTTCAATTAAAACAATATAAAGCAAAATTAATGAAATCGTATTAACTTGCTTTTAACATAGCTTTGCATAGCTTGCAACATAGTAAATATATCGTTGAAATATTAAATCAACAGAACTTTATTGAACTTACTTCCGAACCGCGAGACCATGATGCAACAATGGCATTGCAGGCTAAAGGCATATCCCGATTGCCTATACATTGTCGTCCCTGCTCTCGTGCCATTTTCTCAAGGTCTGCCTGGGATCCCTGGCATTCATACAGCGTAATTTGATGTAAATAATGTATGCTGGACGTTGAGTCATATATTGGTTCGTACTGGAAAGTCAAAAGGCATTACATGAAATTAGACGAATCTATATGTAAATATTGCATACCCGGATAAGATGGTGCTTTCGATTGACATCTTCTAACTTGAACATTTTGCACCAGGATAATGTGCTATCTCCACTTGGAAGCGCCACATCTTCATTTCGTAGTTCCATTTGTCGTATTTGATCATCTTTCCGAAACTGAATTTCTGCCCTTTGGGTAAGAACCATTGGATGATATGGCCGAAAAGCGGAGTCCGGTTCGGGTAATGTCCCAGGTTGAACTGATCCATGAGGTGGGTCGCGACTATGATACATATAGATTAGTCGCATAGTGTTATTCTGAAATAAAAATGAAAAACTTATATTCACATGAAAAAGTATAATAAAATGAGCGCTGAAACTGAGTTTATTTCTATTGGGAGATTATTTGGTTCCGTTATTGTTTTTATCATACTATTAACACTTTTTAACATACTGTTGGTGAGCGGTAGATATAGTTAAAATTCGTTTTACCCATTTCTCAATGGACAAATACTCCGAGAAACATAATGTGAGTGTATAAAAAGAATATTAGCTCAAAAAAAGCAAAAAATTATAAAATTAGGCTTTGAATATCTTTTTTTTTTGTTATTTTGTTTCTTTGATTAAGAATTATTTTTACAATATAATATATAAATTAGAGTCTCATATTTTTTAAGGATTTAGGGGCGAATTCAGAATTATTAGTTAACTAAATTAAGAAAAATCTTAACTAAGGTTGCATATGATATTCGCAGAAGTTTTGTATCAACTACATGGTATATATGTATGTACGTTATAGTCTATACCACCATACATATGTATAACTAAATCAGAAGACGTAACTGGGAAATGGTTTGAATTTAACGGAAAACAATTTTTTTCTAGGATTGAGCATTATCTTCGACAATAATTCATGCCGAATTTCGTGAAGAAATCGATTTTTACCATGGAAATACAAATATTTAATAATTTGCTACGAGAGTTCTTTTTTATTACGAACAAACGTATGTATTTGAAGGGTACAAAGCATTCAGTGAACGTCGTAAAGTCATTGAAAACTTGCCTCATGCGAGTTATTCATCAACCTCTACGCTAACGATAACATCAAAAAAGTTAAAGAAACAGTGCTAGTACCAAAATAACTGAGTCTTTTACCAAAACTACATCAAATAGAGATCGCAAACGAAATGATTGACACTTAACGGGTGACGAGACGTGAACGTATTATTAATATTAATCCAAAAATCTAACGAATTCCACTCCAAAAATAAGCCGATCCGAAAAATCCACTTTAACCGGTGAAAAATCGAGATGATGCTCATCGATTAATAAGAAATACCGGTTTGAAAAGTTTACATAAAGCTCTACCGGATTGTAAGCGGAAAATTCATGGATTTTTCACTACGATAACACTTCCTCACATTCTTGCGTGATTGTGATTGACTTTTTGGCCAAACACGAAATGAGAGTAAAGTCCATTGAAGCCATTCAAAGCTTCGCATTCGCCGAAGGTAATAAAGGACGTCTCAGCCAAGGCTTATAACAAGTATATGGAAAGATGAGCGTTGGTTTGTATTTATTCAAAAGTAATCTATTTTTTTGTCAGTGTGGGTCACTGATCTGATGTTATATGTACCCGTACTTTATATGCTTGGGTAAATTTGAGCGCTCTGGTTCCAAAAAGACCCTCACAAATCCCAAAGCCAAAGTTATGGTTTTTAACAAATTTGTTGATACGGATAATGTCAGTTGCCGCAATGTCTTCTAGTGCGCCGAAGGTAAGACTCGACATATTTAACCTTAGTCTTGGAAAAGATGGACAATGGAGGAGAAAGTCCACTTCACCTTCTTCCTTGCATCTATTACTATTTGCGTCACATAAGCAATTGAAACTTATTATTATAATATCTGCTGTTATTTGACTAGGGCTTAATAAGAAGCTAATGAAGCACTGTAAATATAACGATATTAGTTAAATAATGTCTGAGAATCCGACCCTTAAACAAAAAATTCAGGCCACTTCCAATTTATTCAGGGATATTGGTTTCACTTCTTCTGTTCATTTACGAACTACATTAAAACCGTCAAAAGCACGTTCGAATCAACTAAGAATTAGACTAATTCCAGAGAAGGAAAATGAGAAACGTACGTCGAGAAACTTTGGTCCTTGGTATTTTGAACAACAACGTTTAGTGGCGATGTTGTGATTGAATGCTCCAACTAGAGTGGCGGAATAGGAAATGTAGATTATAAAAGATTATGCGTATCTGTAATGTGGATAAAGAGGTTGAAAATAGTTAATAAACAAAACGGTTGGATTCGGAGTGAAGATCATCCACAGGCCAATACTGAGATGCTCTTATATCTACAAAAAGTCACTGGGAAGAGGAAATCATTGATCAATATTTATCCAAAAATAACATTACAGTCTACGGGAAACGCTAAAGAGAAACGATGAATGACTTTTCGTGCCTGAATTGCAGGATGTTGATGTGGGCGAACCTTGGTTCCAACAAGATGCCATTTCAATGAAACGATCAATTTATTGATCGGGCATCCCAGATCGTTCGGCTTAACACAGCGGGAACATTTTTGGTGGAGTTCTGTGAAGTCGCTTGTTTATGCGGATAAAGAACGAGGTACTAATCTGTATAATCAAGCCAAATTGTGGGTCCTAACATTAAATTACAAGCGTTTCATTTCTTCTTGAAAACGGCATGACTAAAAACAACACCCGTTATATTCACGTTTACGTACATACATATGTATATAGCTTCCACTATTTAGAGTTTGGAACAAGGGTACATTCGTCATTACCTTGTTTTACAGTGTGACCGAGTACATTTGAGAAGCCATTTGAATCCATTACGTCTAAGTGCCCCATGTGGCGCTGTTAAGTGTGACTGTAGTGTTGTGCATGTTGTGGATTAACAGTGGTTCCGACTATTGACTAGCCGCTCAACCTTTGTTGCTTGTCCATTTTCACAATACTTTAATTAACAATTCAACACAGCCCCCTGGAGCGTCGCTCGCGTACATTCCGGCCGATCCGTATTAACTTTGGCGTTAAAGTGACCAGAGTAGGAAAGAGCACGGTCAAGTGGAAATGGGTGGATGATAAGTTCCACATGTATACAATGTGTGGATGAAAGTACAAAAGTCATTACTGTGAGGTGTAGGTGGGGAAAGACAAATGCGGACGTGGTTTTCACTAAAGCTTCCATGTATGTGTCAGTAAATGAGTATGTTGTCCAGCACCTGTGTGTAGCGCATATAAGAGTTTGGACAAGCAATGGTAGCACAAAACAATTCAAGTGTTCAAAAAAAACTTGTACACAAGTAAAAATAACGCGATTAAAAAAGCCGTTGTGCGGAATGAATGAATGGAAATGAAAGCAAAGGGAGGAGATGTTATGTCGAGGTGAAAACATCATGAGGTAACAACCAAAAATTAATGAAAACAAACAAGCCATGACCAGTTGTGGCTGCGGCAGTTATCGTGACTAAAGACCGACAGGATTTAATGGCCGAAAGGATGGCGTTGCTTTTATTGCTGTCAACTTCAACGCAACTGTCGGGCTCGACGAGTTCTAGTGATTGTTATGCTGGCTTACTCCAAAGGCGAAAGCAAAAAATGCGGGTGGCTCTACCCTCAATTGCTCAACTCAACTTAGATACTTCGTACAAACATTACGCTGCTTAATTATACATAGGTTGCTTTCATATTTCGGGATTTGGCAGCACTAATGTTGCAATCTGCGAACTCACAATTTTATCGTAAAGTTTAACATTTTTGATGGTGGCATATTCCAAACATTTTTTACATACGAGCAAGGGGTTGTCTGTTTTTTTTTTTTTTGGTTTTTGGAAAAATTGGACAAGTCGCAACCATACCGCTGGAACAACGCAGAAGAGTGAATTCTGAGTGGTATACAACTATTTGTTTGCCAGTTACCCTTCGAGAAATCAGAAAGACCAACTGCCGTAGACAAGTTACAATTCTCCACGCCAATGCTAGCTCTCACATCGACTGAAATAACTGCTTTTTTGTGTACTCAAATCATCGGTTGGATGAGTCATCCTCCGTATAGTCCTGGCTTGGCACCGAATAAGAGGTTAACGTTTTACGACACTTGAAGAGGCAGTTAATTTATTCGGGGTGCATATTTCGGAAATACCACAAGCAGAGTGGAAAAGAGCTTCGAAAATTGGTTCTAACGTGTGCAAAGAGTACAGATCTTAATGGAGAATATTTTTAAAAACAATAAAGTGATTTTCGATGATTAAAATTTGATTTTGTTCTCAAATCCCGAAATATAAAAGGCAACCTACGTACCTGAGTAATTATATTTGGGCATCTGACTGTTCAAAAGTAAACACTCAGCAAATAAAATATTTTTACTTACTTTTCTTTAGTTTAGTAAATTAGACCAATTAAAAAAAATTATAAATAAAAAAAAAATGTATATATAATATTTAGATGACTGCATCCTACAATTTTAGGTACTGTGCTAATTTTAATAGTTTTTTCGAAGTATTCTGATGTGTTTTTAGCTTATTTTAAATGATTGTGTTGTTATCAAAATTTTTTGTAGGGGCAGCAAAATTTGATTACTCTACAGGCGTCAGATTTGTAACTCTGACATGACCTAATTACATACATACTACGTCATTGGACCCGTCAGCGGGAGTTCACCCGTTGTGTCCAATTTTCGATGACTCGTTCAAGCATTTCGGCTGATAACTAACGCGTGATGTTTTGCTCCAAGTCCAGAATCGAAGCGGAATTGGCCGCTTAAAGACTCCAGAGGAAGAAGTCTAACGGTGTGATATCATACGATCTTGGTAGCCAATCAAGTGGCTCAAAACATGAAATTATCTGCTCACCAAAGTGTTCTCTTAATAAATCCATTGATTAAGTCGATGTGTAGGAAAGGTGACGCCTTGTTGAAACCAAATGTCGCAAAGATCAAAAAATTCAATTTCAGGCATCAAATAGTCGGATTGCTTGTTTACATACCCATCAAGCCAGAAAGGTGTCTCATCGCTCAACAAACTTTGGCTCAAAAACGTCGAAAGTTCTTTGAATTTTTCAAGAACCCATAGAGTGAATGTGGCTTGGGAAAGTTGAGCGGCTTCAGTCCTTGCATAAGTTGTATTTTCTACGCTTTCAATTTCAGATCTCGACGTAAAATTCACCAAGTAGTTCCAAACCTCAGTCCAAGTGGCTAGGAACGGAGCAGAATCGACTCTCCACGGTGTTCTCTATTTTCTTCACTGCGTACCGGACGTGATCTATTCGGTCCAATATTATCCAA